GGCGGGGGAAGCCTCTGGATAGACTTGGTAAGCCCAAACGTGTAGTTCGGGTGAACTGGGAACGTCTGGAGGAGGCCCAAGTTCAGGAGGCCTTCAACTCACACCTCCGGCGGAGCTTTTCGGGCATTCTTGTGGAGGTTGGGGACATTAAACCAGAGTGGTCGGTGTTCAAAGCCTCTATTGCCGAAGCCGCGGCGGGGAGCTGTGGTCTCAAGGTCTTAGATGCCTCAAGGGGCGGTAACCCTCGAACCTCCTGGTGGACACCGGTGGTCAGGGAAGCCGTCCGACTGAAAAAGGAGGCCTTCAGGGATTTGTTATCCCGGGGTGGATGAGATCCGCCCAGAAATGCTGAAGGCTCTGCGTGTTGAGGGACTGTCATGGTTGACACGTCTCATCAACGTTGCGTGGAAGTCGGAAACAGTACCAAAGGAGTGGCAGACCGGGGTGGTGGTTCCCCTTTTCAAAAAGGGGGATCAGAGGGTGTGTGTCAATTACAGAGGCATCACACTACTCAGCCTCCCCGAGAAAGTTTACTCTAAGGCAGTGCTTCTCAAAGTGTGGTCCGCGGACCACTGGTGGTCCGTGACCGCCCCCTAGTGGTCCGTGAGTATATTGGTAACATTTCACATTTGAAATAAATACATTTAAGTTTTCCGCACTCTCGCGGGAATATCTCCGCAATGGAGCGAGCTTAAGTTTCATATAGGTATATAGCCCAGATAAACACCTTCATCACACATGTGGCCACTTGTTTGTACCATTTTCAGGCGATTTGTAAAAAACGATGTGTTTTTGGATATTTGTGGAGTTAGGTGGTCCGCGAGTGTTTTTTTATTGATTAAGTGGTCCTTGGTATGAAAAAGTTTGAGAAACACTGCTCTAAGGTACTCGAAAGGAGGGTCAGGCCGATTGTCGAACCTCAGATTGAGGAGGAACAATGCGGATTCCGTCCTGGCCGTGGAACGATGGATCAGCTTTTTACTCTCGCAAGGATCCTGGAGGGGGCCTGGGAGTCTACATGTGTTTTGTAGACTTGGAGAAGGCGTATGACCGAGTTCCCAGGGAGTTACTGTGGGAGGTGCTGCGGGAGTATGGGGTGAGGGGGTCTCTACTCAGGGCCATCCAATCTCTGTACTCCCAAAGCGAGAGCTGTTTCCGGGTCCTCGGCAGTAAGTCGGACCCATTTCCAGTGAGGGTTGGCCTCCGCCAGGGCTGCGCTTTGTCACCAATCCTGTTTGTAATATACATGGATCGGATTTCAAGGTGTAGTCGTGTGGGAGGGGGTCTGCAGTTTGGTGGACTAAGGATTGCACCACTGCTTTTTGCAGATGATGTGGTTCTAATGGCTTCATCGGTCTGCGACCTCCAGCACTCACTGAATGGGTTCGCAACCGAGTGTGAAGCGGCCGGGATGAGGAACAGCACCTCCAAATCTGAGGCCATGGTTCTCAGCAGGAAACCGATGGACTGTCCACTCCAAGTAGGGAATGAGTCCTTACCCCTAGTGAAGGAGTTCAAGTATCTCGGGGTCTTGTTCTCGAGTGAGGGAACAATGGAGCGTGAGATGGGCCGGAGAATCGGAGCAGCGGGAGCGGTACTGCAGTCGCTTTACCGCACCGTTGTGACGAAAAGGGAGCTGAGCCAGAAGGCAAAGCTCTCTGTCTACCGGGCCATTTTGTTCCTACCCTCACCTATGGTCATGAAGGATGGGTCATGACCGAAAGAACGAGATCGCGGATACAAGCGGCCGAGATGGGTTTTCCTCCGCAGGGTGGCTGGTGTCTCCCTTAGGGATAAGGTGAGAAGTTCGGTCATCCGGGAGGGACTCAGAGTTGAACCGCTCCTCCTTCGCGTCGAAAGGAGCCAGTTGAGGTGGTTCGTGCACCTAGTTAGGATGCCACCTGGGCGGCTCTCTAGGGAGGTGTTCCAGGCACGTCCAGCTGGGAAGAGACCAAGGGGTAGACCTAGGACCAGGTGGAGGGATTATATCTCTTCGCTGGCCTGGGAGCGCCTTGGGATCCCCCAGTCAAAGCTGGTTGATGTGGCCAGGGAAAGGAAAGTTTGGGGCTCTCTGCTGGAACTGCTGCCCCCGCGACCCGATCACGGATAAGCGGGAGAAGATGGATTGGATGGGTATGGTCTATTGCTTCAGCCATGGTTTCGGTCGCCAATTGACTAATTCAGACCTACAAGAAAGTGCCAGAATTAGTGGCATTATGAATAAAAGTGCCATTATGTTAAGGTCGGGTAGGTAAGTTTCAGAAAACCGGCTCGAGATACACTTTTTGTTATATTCCATGGAATGCTCTTAAACATCCCGATAGCAATGAATATCTGAAGTGCTTTGACAAAAAATCCATAAAACACGTCATCTGTGGAAGCCGTAATACTGTAAAAAGTACAACCAATCAGTTTAGCCGGCCCGGCTAAACGGATTGGATTGCCGCCCCTGTCTGTCAGCCTTCCATCTCGTGCACGCACCAATGTATCTCGTGCCCTCATTGGGCGTGCCGTCATTGGGCGTGCATTGCAGCAGTACTTCAATGACTCGCCAGGCAACAGGCGGCCACTTTCACCAGTCTGCTGACGTATGTGCGCGTTCATGTGTGTTGGAGGAGGTGCTCTGTAAGGAAGTCTGAAGGAAGGGGGGTGGATTCTTTTCGGCTGTGTACTTTCAAATTTGAGTGCACTCGAGCCGGTTTCTGAAACTTACCTACCCCCACCTTTAAGTCACATTATAAAATAAATGTGCAATTCGGGAAGAGTAGTATATATGAAATAATATTTCATAATAATAATAGAGTGTTATTTAATTGATTCAGGCACCTTTGGTATTCCATAAACTCTAAGACATCGATATGTATTCATTTAGCTAGCTCATTGAGCCAGAAACTAGGCTGGCTAACGTAGCTAATTAGGCTTCTTTTAGTGATCAAAAACGTTAAAATATATAGAATGCAATACTTTGAAGTACATACAACATGTCACATCATCACCAATATTACACTGGGCATGACTTTACCTGTTAGCTGAGAAGTGTGATAATGTTTCTGAGAAGTGTGATAATGGCTAACGTTACGCTTCTTTCATAGTCCAAATATGTTTAAAATATATAAGCTGCAATTATTTACACATCACACATTACAATTATTTAAACAACATAACACATGTCACATTATCACATTAAACACATTACTTTACCTCTTTATCTGTCATGTTGCAGATCAGTCATTCTGAAGTTTGAAAATGCGAATGGCGAAGAGTGCTTGTGCGGGGGTTGGAGGGTTTTGTGGGTGGGGGTGCAACAGTGGGGAAGGCAAAGGTTCGATCACAGCACATTTGAAACATTTAACCTCAAAACAATATACAAAGTAAGTAGCCTGATAATAATGTGGGAATCTGACGTCATTGTCACCTGACGGTGTCACCTGATGCGGTCACATGACCGTAAACAGGAAGCCATAAAAAGTTTGCCGTCAGTTAAAGAAAGTCTCTCTTGGCTGCCTGTCACTGGTCTTCTCCCTCTCACAAAGGTAGGAATAACAGTTTTAAGGTGGTTTTATGGTCTTTTAAATTAACTTATGCAAGTGGCTCATTTAGTTTGGTTTTATTAGGGCGAGTGCAAGACGAGAGTTTACCATTGACGGAGGGAAACTCTCCCGACATGCACAAGACCGGGTCTGTTATGAGTAATTTGCTTTTAAATGGCGTTTTTAAACCGACGTTTTTAATTGTGTTTTAAGCAACTTATTTATGTGTTTCACAGTGCTTAATGTACACAACCGGCCCAGCTACCCGGGATATTAAGTGACCATTTCCACGGCAGGATTAAGCTGAGTTGGAAATCTACTCTGTGGAAGTATGCCTTGTTTTTAACTCTTTCATTTTATATTGAGTTGGTGAATGAGGCTGGCAACTAACATGTTATGTTGTTTCCTTTTCAAAAGGACCAGGCCAGCCACTGTCCTATAGTGTTTATTTTGTATTTTCTTGTTCATTTCTTCATGTGCAGTGTATGGCAGTATAATCATTGTATTGTTTGTGTCGTAGGTTGCGCTCCTCTGCGGCGTAGGCCTGGGCCCGGGTGGAACGCTGCCTGCCTTCAGTGTAGGGACTGCACGGTGTGACACTTTCTTTTCTGTATGCTAAATATCTCACTGTTATTATTTTATAGAGATTGTGGTTTGAATATTGCATGTTTTTGGTGTGTGGCTTTTCTTGTTTTTGTCCCTCGCTATTAGCAGGCACTGCAACCCGGCGGACCGGGCCTGCAGTCCCTCGCTATTAGCAGGCACTGCAACCCGGCGGACCGGGCTGCCCCAGCGGAGAGTAGGGTAACTTATATACGTGTTGAAATTGTATTTGCCATTTTTACACTTTACATGAATCGAATTTTAAACTATTCCAACACTGTTAAATAAAGCTGCGTATATTTTTGGAATTCATGCCTCTGTCATAATTGAACCTATTAAGGGAAGCTTTAAATCGTTCCATGACTTACATTTAGGGTCCACGGGTTCCTCCTGCCCCTTAGCAGGAGGTGGCTTTGTCAGTGACTAGCTTTACATATGGGTAACCTCAGTCACGGTTACCACAATAATAATATAATAGCTGAGTAATTATTCATAGTTAAAAACTACTATTTTTGCAATATATATGCGATCTAAGCAGTTTATTCACATTACATGTCAAATCTGAATATGGCATCAGATTGCCCATGTAGGGAGAACTACAAAAGCACATTTAATTCAAGTTCGTACTTTGTTTAGTCAAAATATATACTTAAAATAAATTTCAGGCTGGCGGTATATTTTGTTGGATTTCTCAACTTTGAGGCATTTTGACATTTTGAGCCTCATATACAGCAGATTGGATTCTGATTTTATGAAAATTGACCCCTGTCTATCAGTGACGCCTGTAGCCCCACAGAGAGCTCAAACTGCAGCTACTGTGCTGGGGAAATAACACTATGCTGAGAAAGTAGAGAAACAACAACTTACGATTTGACACACAAAAGGTAAGTTGATTCTGATTGATGCCCCCGGCAAAAACTCCAAATGTCAGCCCCGTATGAAAGAGGAAGTTGAGGAGTGTGTGCCAGCCATTCCTGCTGATGCGGATCACGCGCTGCAAACACAGAGCTCACAGTTAAAAGGATGGACTGCATGGGATGCAGTAATAAAACCAGTAATGTTGTTAACAAGAAAGCATAATTTAGCTGTGATTAAAATATAATATAGAATAGAATACAGCTAAAAAAGAGAAAACTTATTACTAATATTCTGAATCACAAAAACAAAACGTATGTATGGGTTTGGGTTGGAGCAAGCCCCCATGAAGTGCACCGGACTCTGAGGAAAATATTCGATGTGGCCAAACGGCGGTACTACACTTCCGTATCAGTCGCTGGGCCAGAATGACTTTTCCCCATCGACTTACATGGGGAAAGAGACGTATGTAAATCGTTGGATATTTTTTTTTTAACCAAATTAACTACCCAGTATGAACACTTGTATAGCCCTTATTAAAAACATTCGGTCCTCAAGTTGTAAAATGTGCTAACAACGTTTATTCTGAGAGTTATTTTTCCTTTGCATTATGAACGCGGATATAACCCACGGAACCGCGCCGCCCGGCACGTTCAATGTGACGTGTTCAGTACTACATGAATTTTACCTTTACCCATGGATGCCCAATAAGAACGGATATATGAGTATATGAATAACTTTCGTGACGTTTCGCCTCTTTCAAAGGCTGGGCCATTTTGTCTTCATGTGCCAATGAGCAACTCTCATAGGAATGAACGAGGCCCGGCCTCCCCACGCTGTATCCAGTTCTTATTAGACATCCATGGGTTGAGTTATATGAAGGGCTAATGTCAGGACATTTAAGTAAAATGTCATATAAAATCAAACTTATTTAGGAAACCAAAATATCAAATAAAAATCTAGAAAAACCTTAACACTAAGAACATTTAAAATGTTCATCTGTAAACAGCCTATTATCAACCTGAACTTAAATAGGAAGGATATGCTCTTCTCAGATCAACCCAAATGCATCGCCTCAATGTACTGAAGATTAATGGCTGGCTGTAATTGTTCTTCCTGTCCCGACCCTGCGAGACCCCTCCCTTATTTGACTTCACTGTAGGAGATGGAGATCACAATCCACTGTCCTGGTTCCATGCTTCTGTGCTTCACATGCACAGTCCAGCTGAAGCTAATGGGACATTTGAGCAGTCTTACGGCCCGTCCACACAGCAGCTTTTGGCGATTTGTCCACCGCTTCCAGCGCGCCCATTGACTTTGAATGGGGATGACGTCACTTTCCCTCGCTTGTCGCCGAACTGCATTGTGGGGGGGCGAGGCGAAGATTTCCAGGATTTCCAGGATGTTCAGGATTCCAAAGTTGAACAATGTTCAACTTTTGAGGCTGAGCTGGAAGCGACAGCCAATCAGATCCGTTTATGCAAATCTGACAGTAGAAGCTCTAGCCAATCAAACCGCGTGTAAGCAGGGAGAGCCAGACCGCAGTTCATTTCCTCATATTCCAAACGAGAAATTACGGTAGCAAATCCACCCGGTTCTTTACGACCAGACTATTTACCGGGATACAAACCGGAGGAACCAGGCATGGAGGGAGGTGCCAGAGACAGTGGATTGAAACTGGTAGGTTTTCGCCTGTTTGGGGGAGTTTATATATATATATATATTGCTCGCATAAAATCCCCGATTTTTTTTTTGCTTTGTATGTCGGGGCGGGCGGGAGATTCATGTGATTGGTTGTTGGTCGTGTTGCTCGCAAAAAATCCCCAAGCTGTCAGACACGCTCAGCTCCAAGATTTTCAAGATTTCTTCAAAGCTGCTGTGTGGACGCACCGTTAGACACTGAGAGTGCAACACTGTGTAAAACTATTCATTGGGCTGTGTTGCTTCTTCTGTGCTGCTGAAATTATGAAATTACATTACATTGCATTTAGCTGAGGCTTTTATCCAAAGCGACTTACAATAAGTGCGTTCGACCAACAAGATACAAACTTGAAGAAAACAGAATCATATAAGTACATCAGGCTTCATAGAGCAAAAACATTTCAAGTGCTACTCAACTGGCTTTAGATAAGCCAGCCCTTTGTTAGTATATAAGTGCTTTGTTAATAGTTCTATCGCTCGAAGTGGAGTCGAAAGAGATGAGTTTTCAGTCTGCGCCGGAAGATGTGCAAGCTATCTGCTGTCCTGATGTCAATGGGGAGCTCATTCCACCATTTTGGAGCCAGGATAGCAAACCCACGTGTTTTTGCTGATGGGAACTTGGGTCCCCCTCGCAGTGCGGGTGCAGCGAGCTGTTTGGTTGATGCAGAGCGGAGTGCACGTGCTGGGGTGTACAGTTTAGCCATGTCCTGGATGTAGGAAGGGCCAGATCCATTCACAGCATGGTACACAAGTACCATTGTCTTGAAGTGGATTCTAGCAGTTACTGGAAGCCAGTGAAGGCAGCGGAGGAGCGGCGTGGTGTGGGAACATGTAGGAAGGTTGAAGACCAGGCGAGCCGCTGCATTCTGGATGAGCTGCAGAGGTCGGATGGCACATGCAGGTAGACCAGCCAGGAGGGAGTTGCAGTAGTCTAGGCGTGAGATGACGAGAGCCTGGACCAGAACCTGCGTGGCTTTCTGGGTCAGGAGGGGACGTATCCTCCTGATGTTGTATATAATCCAGACACGGCCCGTCATGCTTCATGTCTGATCTCCTGCTACATCTCCTTACTTTCTTCTCAGGGTCCTGTGTTTTTACTCAGGAGTCTTTGTTTTGAACCACCGGCCACCCTGGGACCTTTGTGTTTATTTTCTCCTATATGAATGATGAGTCAGCCTGTATTTCTGCAGTGTGTTGAAGAGGAGGTCATGTGACTCAGATCTGTTGGGCAACGTTTAAATTGCTCAATATACTCCTATTATATATATATTATTCATATATGTTGGTCTATTCCTTAAACAGCATTTTTCATAATTTAGGAATATTTGGAGTTTTTCTGTGGGTCTCAGAACTGAGGTTGTTGAATGCTGTTCAGATTGTAGAGCACCTTAAGGCAAAGCTGGGATTTTGTATATTAAAGTGGACCTATCATGCTATATTTGAATAATATATTGTAGGGCCATACCTATACATGTATAAAACATGTCTGTGAAGTTTTTTTTTCAAAATACCAAACAGATCCTGCATTTTAGCCATGCCTCATTTCGCTCCATTTGCTCTTTTTTAGCCCTGTTTTTGCAAGGGCTGAATCTGTGAGAAGTCTTCTTCGCTGCTTTTGTGGCAGACTACAGCGCCACCTACAGGCCTGGCATATGTACTACAGCGTCTCCAGTGCTTTCGAACGGCAATGGCCGTGGCTGTCTCCTCCTGATAGGTGGAGAGTTGCCCATATAGGCGGAGCTCCTCGTTCCTGACGTCAGAAATATTTCAAATCTGTATCAGTCTGTATCAGATCCGTTGCAGCCCCGTTTTTAGAGATTTGGGTATGGAGGAAAAGAGAGAGGGTTGTGTTTTCTGACACTTGGTGAGTTCCCTGACACACCGGGGACACATATTCATGTATAAAAGACGTACAAAAGTGCATTTTGCATGATAGGTCCCCTTTAAGCTACATATATAAAGAAACGTACTTGATTTAAAAGTCCAGTTTGAGTATTAGAACCATGTGTTTTAAGGCTTTTTAAACAACATAACATTTTTATTTTGTTTACATAGCTATAAGACTGAAAATAAATATATCACAAAAATGTTCTTGAACATACAGTACAGTATTGCTTTGGCAGTCGGTTTCAGGATGGTGTCATTGTGTTAAAATATTTTAATTTTAAAAATACTTACTTTGGTCCCCTTTATCTAACATTAAAGTCATGATAAGAAGGGGTCACTGCAGGGTCAGTATGGACATGATGAGACCGCAGTATGTCTCAAACTAAGTGACTGAGCATGTCTAAAGGTATAGAGTTTAGAGTGCACAACAGACAATTCCCTCCTTAAATGCAGTCATGGCCTTGTGCTTGGTTGTTTGCAAATTGTGTGAAAATTGAAAAAACAGAGCTTTTAATAAATGTTCTGCTCACCTGTGGTGGACGATATAGGTCATGATGGAGACCAGCAGGCAGAGCAGCATGACTGCAGTGCAGGCGTACACCACCGGGTGCAGGTAGTCCCCGGGGTATGGGGGGGAAGGACAGCACCCTCTTCAAATCCTGCAGCAGGACACAGGTCAACGGACACAACAGATGAATAGGATATACAGAGAGATACACGCCCTCGCTTAATAAAAACAACAATGACTGTGGCCAAAAGTTATTACCAAACAGCCCAGATGGTGTTGAGTTAAGCCAGGCACGACTTGGTCAGGAGGACGGTCATTAATAATGCGTACGTTATTCGGTGCAAGGAAATAGTTTAACAATTTTGGAAAAAAAAATACACTACTTTTTCCAATGGATGGATTTATAGTTTGATTTCAAGCGCATATTTTATGTGTCGAACTAATATCGGAATTAGTTAGCCTAGCTTAGCATAAAGACTAGAAGCAGGAGGGAAGGGGCTTGCACTTTTCTGTTCAAATAGAAAATAAATACACCTACAAACTCCTCTGAAGCTCACCGATCCACATGCTGTGTCTGGTGTGGTTATTCTGTACACATTTGAAGGTGTTTACATGTATAGGTGTTTACATGTGTACAGAATACACAATGTTTGGTTTGTGTATTCTGTGTCTGGTTAGACCTAAAACTCACAGTATATGTTTTGTAATTTTGCTATTTGATTCCACTATTACTCAATTAAAAGGGTTTCACAATTATTCCTCTTATCAATCTATTGGCAATGACAGGGAGCATATATTAGGAAAGAAAAAAAGGTAAATGAAATGAACGTGTATTTTAGCCCCAGAAAACAATTTTAAAAAATGGTATAGGCCTGCATGTGTTATTGGAGGAATGTTATATAGTGAATGTCATGTGTTTCGATTAAAGTTAACAGCCATGCTGTTGTTTTGAGTTGTGACCGACTGTTTTGCCTAGCAAAATGCTTTTTTGCATTTTCACTGTTGTTTAATAAGTTTATCACCCAGGTAACGGCCCCTACACACGGCGGTGTGCGTTGCAGCTTCAACGCTTCTGCCCATTCACTTTGAATGGGGTGACGTCACGATTTGCCGAACTGCATTGTGGGAGCAAAGCGTAGCTTCTCTCGCGGTGCTCGATGGAGGCGTCAGCCAATCGAATCATATGCCAGTACATGCTCTAGCCAATCAAACCGCATGCTTGTGTGTCTAGGGCGGGAGATTCATGTGATTGGTTGTTGGTCGAGTTTCAGCCCCCCCCCGCCGGCAAGCGACAACGCACGCCGCCGTGTGTAGGGCCGTAAAGGTGGACATTAGAGTGCACATTCACATAGACAGTATTAACATTTGTGGGTGAAACATTTTTCAGCGGGTATAATAACAAGTGCATTAACCTTGTTTGTGTGCTCAAAACAAAATGTGTGTGTGTCCATCACTGTGACAATGGTATTGCAAAATCAATTTTGGTGACGATTACGGGATACCGCCCATAAAAAAAATGTAAAGGCCTGAAATCAAACAAGCATGATCACATAAAATCTGTCTCTAATGAACACTAAAGATGATTGATATAGAAAAACTATTTACAAACATAAATCTTTGTATCTTTACCATCCATTATACATGATATGAAAGCAGCACAAGAAGATGCATGTGGTTACTTTAACAAGCTGTTGTTTACCAAGAGAGTGTTAGAGCACCTAAATGACTTAGCATTTCTGCTGTACATGAAGCCATGTGTTCATCAGAGGTGTTAGGTGTATTTTTACCAGACTGTTTCACCCTTTGTGCTAAGCTAGGCTAACAAGGTCCCGATTATAGCTAGAGTTTTGCACACACACATGAATAAATAGCAGTATAGCTGATAATGCTGATGCCAACATGCTGTTATATGCAAAGTGAAGCAAAGAATGCTTGTGAAATAAACATGATTCCTTTATGCAAATGCTACCCTCCTTGCTAACAGCCAGCTCAGTGGTGCTCGTCAGAATGACTCTGGAGCCTGCAGACTTGCTGCTGGAGGTCGGGCTGAGCTGCATGTTTCCAAAGCTTTGCACAATCATTCATGCTCGTTCAGTATGAGTGCATTAATAAAGTGTCCTGACGTACCAGGATCTAGCAACATATATCACATCATTAAACATGTAAACCATGGTGAGAGGGATTACAGTGTCTCCTGAAACATGAAATTAAATTAACAAAAAGGCAAATATCAGACCTTGTTCGGGAAGCTGTATTTGTTTTTATTGGATCAGCTTTTGTATGAAAACCAAACCGCATAATGAATTAAGTTGAGACATTATAAAAGCCAGTCCTCTCATAATATAGTGCTGCAACAAAGGACTACTTTCAATATTTATCACAAACAGATTATTTATTGTTGGACTCCCAATCCCGAGACAATGTAATTTTTCCAATAGTTTCTTTAAGTCCAATGATATGTCAAACAGAAAACCAAGAAAACACACATTGACTCTTGAAAAATGTGTTCTGGGAATGATTGGCTTTTTAGCTTTAACATGGATTGAAAGGATTTCCTATAACACTGGATAAACAGTATGTTAAGCTGCCTATCTGGCGCTGTATTCAACCTACCACGCTATCAAATAACAATGACATATTATTGTGACCAACAGCAGGAGTCCTCTCCTGCTGATGTTCAGGTTCATATCAGTATGTAGTGTCTCTACTGTGACATGTCTTCATGCTGTTCAAAAAGCTCTTTATTTTTCTCATACTGCCTGTGCTGCAGCACCTCTTTTCACCCTCTGTCTGAAACCAGAGCCCAGTCTGCTCTGACCGCTTAGAGATGTCCCGCCCCTTAGCCTATCACGTACTGTGTTGGAGCGCAAGCCAATAGAAGCGCGAGTGTTACCTAGTGATGTCACTATGTTAGGGAAGTAAACAAAGGAGACTCCCTAGAGGGAAAATAGGGATTTAAACCTTTGCAAATCATATTTACATGCACTAAAACCTAAAGCCCCAAAAAGCATCAAACGTTCCTCTTTAAAGTTGGGTGCTCGGTTTTTCTTTACCACTCTAGCCCACTATCACTTGCAAACAGCAATATGTTCTTCAGGGTTACTGCAACAATGTCCACCCCCTTCCTACTGTGAGTGGTGAACAAATGCCCTGAAGGGCCAACAACTGAAACTGGGCTTCTACAAACCAAGCAGGCATGATGATGTACAGTAGCTCATTCTGACCTGTCATAGCCCTCAACTGTCATCCATTAACTAATATAAACATATAACGGAAACACTACTGTGAAACATCTCTTTAATCCCAGCGAGTGCAGCTTACAAACTGTTTATGATGGAGACTCTTCCGTATGTCCGTGACCTTCCCATCCGCCAATGAAAATCATCCAACTGTCTATTTGCAGTACAGTGTACACCTTTGACACCTTTCTTCCATCAACAGTTTGTATGGGGGACACATGATGTGTGATCAACTGCAGAGACTCAGAATAAAGATACACTATGTTCCTGGTTTTCTATAACCCACAACAATTTGCAAAAAGCCTACTTTGCAACATTTTAATTTATGTATAATCCTATGCCAATATGTGTCTGTAGTATATTTCTATATATTTCTGTAGCTTGGTTAGATTGTATATTGTAAAGTATTTAATTTCTTCAATATTTGTATATTGTGTATTATTTAAATACTCTAAGTGATATATGTATGTATGTCCTTTCTATTGTGCATTTTTATTTTTATTATTTATACTTGCTAATGTTAATTGTTTTGTATTTATTATATTTGTATTTTACTGTATCTTTTAAATATGTTTTACTTTTGTAATGCTTGACAACACTGCTGCTGTGACAAAATAATAAAACAGAATTTAACCAATATTTTCAATTGAAAACTTGTATTGAAACTGTGCTTGGTTACTATTATGTGACATAGTGACATGAACACAAAGCCACTGTCCCAAGCAAAAGTTTTCAACTGTGCTACAAATGTGGTGAATCTTTGGTTGTCAATTTATATTGGGGGACATTAACATGAGGCTGATATTAATTTACAAATGTCTCTCTCTATGTGCACTTTATGTCAAAAGAAACATTAAGTCAATAAACAAATCCATGAGAGTCTCAGTAAACACATCGGCTGAAACGTGAATCAGTGCGCTGCCTTGCTATCATTAATCCGATGACTTGTCTGTGGAGGCAGCAGTGTGTGGGAGGGTTAGAGAAAGTGATTCATGTACAGTAAGTGATGTGCTTCTCCTGGACAGCTCTAGCTTTCCCTCTGTGTTAAAAGGCAAAACGTGCCTTCAAACAACAGTTAGGCCTTCTTCCTCTCCCACTGGAGCACAGCCCTGCATGTGCATAATTCAAGCTGAACATTACTGTGGAGGCAGGAATAAAGAGCTAACTTGGCTCCGTCTTTAAGACAGCGTCAACTCGCTTTTCCTTTGTGTTCCGAGGCCTTGTATTTTAGAGACACTGTCATGTCTTCCCCCTCTCATCTCTCTCTCTCCGGGACAGCATGCTCTCTCATCACGCTCCACTGAACAACCCATCTATTAGACAGAGCATGACTGATTAAATCCTTTGCAGATCCCATAAAATGAAAAAATACAGGCATGCACATGCAGCAGCAGAGATCTACGCTCCACTTCCTTCAGATGACCGACCACGAGCTGTGTCACGAGCTAAGATTTAGTATTTAGGCTTCTTTTGTTCTGCCCTCCTAACATGCTCATAGTGACAATGTGAACAGCAGGTACAATGTTTACCTAATTGACCATCTTAGTTAAGCATGTTAGCAAACTAGCATTGCTAAAGCAGAGGCTGACAGATATGTCAGTATTAGTTTTGGATGTATTTGGTCCACAGTCCACACTACTAAAATAATTGTCTCTGTGATGGCGCTAGTGGAAAAATCTGAGGATCACTTAAGTTATAACAATTAATGGTAAAAGTACCATGAACGTCTATATGAACTTGTTTTACAATCCATACAGTGATTGTCAAATCATTAAAATGAAAGCAGTAAACACTGAAATATCCTGACTTCCAGTTCATAGGCTTGGTTGAGCACCAAAACATTTCATTCTATACTTCTCATGATGCAACTCCAAAGTCTTTCAATAGACCCACACTTCCTGCTATGTGTCAACACATCTGTAATGCACGCTTTCTGTTCAAAATGTCAAACTGTAATAAAAACATGTAAGTCTACAGGAGACACCATAGAAGGGTTTTGATTGATGAACACTTCTTTCGATACTTTATCTTGAGGCCGTGTTTTGTGTGTGGAGCCTGTTATATGCATTTTATTAAAACATACGTTTATAGTTACAATATACTAAACAGCAAAGACAGGGCGTCAGTGTAGGCCCTTAGCAAATGTTTGCCTCGGGGTCCCCTTCTGGGTTAATCTAGTCCTCCTTAAAGACCTCTAATATGAAGCTGTGTAACACTTTGCCACTGAGCTAACATCACGCAACTGTTTCAAATAATATCCTTACGCTGCGTTCACGCGGCGGCGTACGTTGAAGCTTGCACATGAATCTCCCGCCCTGGACACAAGGGCACGCGGTTTGATTGGCTAGAGCTTGTAGGTACTGGCATATGATTTGATTGGCTGACGCTTCCGTCGAAGCTTCAAAAGTTGAACTTTTCTCAACTTTTGCAGCGAGCAATGCGTAGCGACGCTCCCACAATGCAGTTCGGCGAAGCGTGACGTCACCCCATTCAAAGTGAATGGGCAGAAGCGTTGAAGCTTCAACGCACGCCGCCGTGTGGACGGGCCGTCACTGACAACGTGTTAGTGAGCCGAGCCGTCATTTCAAGAGTGCAGTTACCTTTTTTTTTTTTTTATACTATTTAACTAGTAAATGTCCCCATAGCTTGTGCCTTTAATAACCTGTATATCTGTCCTAATCAGGGTTCCTGCAGGTTTCACCAACTCAAATGTAAGACTTTTAAAGACCTTTTTAAGACCACTTTGAATAGAATTTAAGACCTATTTCACGGCAAGAAAGTATGAAGGAAAATTGCTATGAAAGAAGAAATACGTACATGAAATGTATTCATGTTCAACATAAGAACGATGACTGAACATAACAGCATAACAGTACACAGAACTGTGTTAGCGTGTTAGACAAAAAGTGTGTGTGTGTCTCCATGGCCGTCCCTGGCCCCAAGCGACATTGTGAGATGAGCCCCCCCCCCAACCGACAGGAGTGAACATTTTTACTAAGTACTTTGCAAATATAATTCCTGTTTATTATTATTATCAACACAATTACTTTTTTACACAGTGAGGTAAATGGTAAATGTGCATGTATGTAGTTCAGTATGCGTTTACAGGTGAATACGTCTGCATTTCCTGCCAAATACTAGCCTCAAAAAGATTACAATATAATTAATGCAAATAAACTACTTCTACTAATAATAATAATCATAATCAAAATCAATTCAATAATATAAATACTATATTATTTTATTATAATATAGTTGTAATATAGTCAAGACAAAACATGCTTATGACATGCTCAAAAACTGATATTTCTTAAATCTGTATTCTAGTTCCCTCTGTCAGCAATGTATCAACAACTACACACACATTTCTATCAGTATTTCTCTGTGTTGTGGTTGACATGACGATGACTGCAGGAGTTAAGGGGAGAGGCTGAGCATCACCATGAAATGTGCAAATTGACATAAAAATGAATAAAAAGGGAAAAAATGCTCCATGTTTTTTAGGCTGTAAACTTTAACTGTTATGTAAGCCAAGTAGGCTTATTATTACTATTAAGTAAGCAAGTATCACTCTTCCTCCTGTACATTAGCAGATCAAAGGCATAACATACTTGAATGAATGGTAAAGGATGCTGGAAATAACTGCATCTCCTTTAGCCTGTATGCTCTGCAGAGACTGCCTTCTTCATGTCGTGAATTGCAGCTGATGTTTTAATATGGCAATTGGCAATTTGACTTATACAACATTCGCAAGTTGTACATTTGACTCATACAATAACCCACCTTCGAGTGATACTCTAGTTTCTTCATGTTTTGTT